ATGCCCTATGTCTCGTTGATCTGTTCATGTGTAACCCATGACTTCCCTCAATTTCAGTGCTTTCTGAACAGACTCTATCGTATCTTGGAGTTGCCATTTCGTATCTGTCTTTAGAGCGACCTGGGCATCTGCCACTGTAGGGTCTGAAGACTTGCGTAGCATCATCGCGAGTCTTACCTTGCCGAATTTAAACTTTTTGGGTATTGATTTGAACAGAAGTAGAATCTTAGGTTGCTTACAATAAAGAGCCGCATCGGTTAGACAAGGTGGTGCTCCAAGCCATTTCCTCATGGCGATGTTGATTCAATCCCTCATAGTCTCCACTGCACATGCTCACCTCGTGCACAAGCAGCGGCCAGAGGAACTTAGGAATCAACATGAACTGGAGACACCAAGCCTTTAACTTTCCGATCAGCCTGCACTACTCGATAGCAAGCATTCCTGTTGCCGTTGATTCATGTATAAGCCACATAACATCGAATCGTAGACGCGGCCTATTTTCTTCATCGGTATTGCATGCATGTGTAGGTGTGTACTGGTTGTCTCGACTTTACCTTTAAGGATTGACAAACTTCTTGATATATATATATATATATTGTTGGTATTGCTAGATTCTGTTATGTGAACTTTGTTTTACCGCATTATGCTCTACGGTAACAACATATTACACACAATAATAAACACACGGAGATATACGTTAAACATAACGAAACACCTGTTATACAATTTATTTAATTTAAATAACTCATCAATTTTACGACAAGCAAAAAAGCACTTTTTATGTGTGATTTGAAATTTGAATGCACCAACACCACTTCGCAGCTGGCATTTTTTACAGAAAACCTTTATATGTAACTGTATGCCCATATACCCAGTTCGTGACAGTAATTCTCTTTACAGCTTTCATTAATTTCTGCGAACTATTACCTGTCAGTAATAATTGAGTGTAATTGATTGAACACCATTTTTAAATGAACTCATGTATCTATAAAATTATTAATGATTTGTTTTCCCATATTTAGTATTTAATATATATAATTGACATCAAACATTTCTTTCGCCCTAATAATTTAACTAGACAATGTCACAGTTGTTTTCAATTTACTGTCAAACAGATGTTTATGTACATAGTTGTTTTAACGTCTCGGTTATTTCCACAGTTACCATATAATTTTTGTTTTAAAGGTATACTTTGTATTATAATTATCTTAGATAATCAGCAGTTACTGTCATTTTATATGTCAGCCAGCCCCAGATCAACATAATTATGTTTACTAATGTCTGGTAAGACGCGTAGGTTGATAGGGGCTAATAATAGTAGAATTAATAGTATGTTGTACCATATAAAGCGGCGTCCGTGGCTTAGGCGTTGCGAGTCCGACACGTAATTCCATCGTACCATGATCGAAACCCACTGCAGCTGCGTGAATTTGTATCGTGGTATGGAGCGTAGCAGGCCGACCCAGCCTAAAGTGGGTACCAGGATGGCAGTCCTGGGGAAGTAGACAGCCGCCTTTACTTTTCCAGGACTGCACCCGGTATCCACTCAAGGCTGGATCGACCTGGGAGCCAAGGTCATTTTTTTTTTAAAAGTCCGGATCCGCCAGGAAGCTAAACCACGACCTTCCGATCCGCGGCGACCGAATATGGAGTACTCTTCTCATATGCCCTATGCGCCTAAGTTGTGAAAAGGGATCTTTACTTTTTACATACTATAACGTATAATAATAAGATAGAAAAAAAAAAAACTTCCACATATTCACAGCAGAATTTCACCGATAATTAAAGTAAGGAATCCCCCTTTAAATAATTGTTTCTGCCCAGTATTCTCCCAGACAGTCTGGAGAGGTGGGCAGAATTAGTTCATAAGGCCATGTGGTCGTTGCGGTAAAAAAAAAAAAAAAAATGGGCGCCTACCAGAACGACCAGAATGACAGGTGGCAGACGTTTATGGGACAGACTTTGGCAGTTGGCAGAGTTACACAGGCAGAAGTTGACCGGACAACTTTGGCTTAGGGGATTTAAACATTTTTCGTCACTAGCCGGTCAAACAGGTCTACCAAGGCTTATCCCCAACGTCGTTTCTTTGAGTCCACAGTCAGCTCGAAGCTCTGTCGCAGAGTCACCCAGTTGTTTTATGCCAATTTACGCTCTGTTCATTCAAAGCTCAGCTGCTTTAGTAAATTGTATATGGAGGTGTATATTAGCCCTCTTCTGTCTACATCTATGGTGAAGAGTTTTACTGCGTACCCTTCATTGCTCTCAGACTGGCCACCAGCTAACTGTATTTCTTCAGCTTATACAGAAGATCAGCGACTCGTACGGCACGCTGAGCTCTATCTGGATGAGCTGATGTTCTGCCACAGTGTGCCAATCATACCTAGTCTTAAGTCAATCTTTCGGATCATTCGGGGTATTTCTCAAAACTAGACAGGTCAACCGGCAGTTGCCAGTCCCTCCCCCAGCTGAATATGGATGGAGCGTATTAGATTTTGTTGAA